GGGGGGGCAGAGTCTGAGACTAGGATCAAACTGGGGGGGCAGAGTCTGAGACTAGGATCAAACTGGGGGGGGGGGCACCTCAGTATATCACAGTGTATCGTATCGTCAGACCCAGTCCTGTCGTACACACGTACATGGACAGAGGGTCAAGGTCAAGGTCAGGGTCTCTGACCTGACGACCTCCACTCACTCAGCTGTTGTCTTGATCCGTCCTCCTGTCCGTCTTCTGCTGATTCAGGATCTCTCTCTGGAGCTGAAGCCCGGTCGGATGACGGCTCTGGTCGGTCCGTCTGGAGGAGGGAAAACCACGTGCGTCAGTTTGTTGGAGAGATTCTACGAGCCGCAGGCCGGAGAGATCCTGCTGGACAACGAGCCGCTGAAGTCCTACGACCACGGCTTCCTCCACAGGAAGGTGAGAGTCCGCTTCTGGTAGGTTCTCTCTGTGTGTGTGTGTGTGTGTGTTCTCTCCGCTCTACAGGATGAGAAGAAGAAAAACATCCGGACCTCAGGGCTGGTTTGTTCAGGTGACGCTGACGTGTGTGTCCTCTAGGTGGCCATGGTGGGTCAGGACCCCGTGCTCTTCTCCGGCTCCATCAGAGACAACATCGCCTACGGCCTGACGGACTGCTCCATGGAGGAGGTCCAGGAGGCCGCTCGCCTGGCACACGCTCACGACTTCATCCAGCAGATGGGAAGAGGCTACGACACAGGTAACGACAGGAAGTTCCCCTGGGTTCTGTAACGTGACCTCGGCGGTGAAGAAAGGGTTAACATTTCACAATTTCATTTTCATCTTCTCTTCTTCTCAACATGACTTCCAGCTCAGTGTCATGTTTTTTTTTTTGTCCTCTCCCTCTCTCCAACGTCTGACCGCCCTGAACCGTCCACGTCCCTCAGAGGTGGGCGAAGGCGGCGGACAGTTATCGAAGAGCGAGAAGCAGCGAATCGCCATCGCAAGAGCTCTGGTTCGACGACCGCAGATCATCATCCTGGACGAAATCACCAGCTCTCTGGACACCGAGAGTGAGAGTGAGGTACGGAACAGTACGGAACAGTACAAATTTATATACATATATACATATATTTACATATATGTATATATGTACATATATACATATATGTACATATATGTATATATGTACATATATACATATATGTACATATATGTATATATGTACATATATACATATATGTACATATATGTATATATGTATATATATGAAAAAAGATATATATATTATTTCCTATTCCTAGTTTTATTTATATTTATGAATATATGAATATAACATCCATAAATATAACATTTATAGATGTTATATTTCATTGTATTTCAGTGTTTATTTCCTTCATGTTTTTTATGTCCGTTATTAAGTTTTAACAGTGGAAATTCCGACACTCAAACGCACCATTAGCTGTAGCACACCAACAGTCTCAAAGAGAACGAGTGTGTGTGTGTGGGGGGGGGGGTCACTGTGAAGGGACCGGGGGTCATGACCCCTCCCTTCATCCCTAGCACCATTTGCACCCATGTAAGTGAATGACGGCAGCAGATTGTTGAATTGAAGCCAAAGATAAGTCAGAGTTAGCGCTGAGCTAACGACCAAGTGTTGGTCACAGATAATCTGAAATATCTGAGATTAAAACACCTGGACTGAGACAAGGAGGAATTCTGGGAAGGACTAAAAATGACCGTTAAATACCTGATAAAAACGTCGACAAACAGTCGTGGAGCAGGAGACAAACAGTACCAAGGCACAAAGGACGTGAGGGTGACACAGACAGACAGGAGGGGGAGCTGACGAGACACAGGTGAGGGTGGTCAGCTGATCACTGTGGAGAGGCACAGAGTGGGCGGGGCCGGGTACACACAAGGGGGCGTGGACACAAGTGGGCGTGGACACAGGGTGAGACTTGATGAAACTGAAGGGACTGACAACATGACTCCACAAAAGTCTGGGAACAGCTAAGAATGAACTACAGATCACTAAATGTTAGCGCTGAGTTAGCTAACAATAGGCATGAATAAAATAAAGGGTTCTGTGTCTGGAAATAGCTAAAGGTTGACTGAAAAAAACTAAAGGCTAGCTCACTGTGACAGTTAAATGTTAGCCAAAACAAAGCTAACAGAGTTAGCATAAAAGTGCTACAGTGTCTGACATGGACATCAGTGTTACAGTTCAGTGACGTGACTGTGCTCCTGCGGTCGGCTAACGGTTGGTTCTGGAACTGTGCCCAGGTCCAGCAGGCTCTGAGTGGACTCCCCGACCGGACTCTCCTGGTGATCGCCCACAAACTGTCCACCATCGAGAAGGCCGACCAGATCGTGGTGATCAGCGGGGGCGTGGTGGAGGATCGAGGGAGTCACCAGGACCTGATGGAGAAGAAGGGGAGCTACTACAAACTGGTGGAGAAACTGTTCGCCGAGTGAACCTGGAGGGTGGGGTTAGAACCAACAACCTGCTGATCCACGTGGTCATCAATCATCTGATGACATTCAGAAAATCTGGACCCCCGTTTATCTTTGTATATATTTTGTATGTGTATTTGCATTAGGGACATGTGGTTTCTCTGGGAATCGAACCCTCTGATTGTAAGGCAGTTGTGCTAACCTCTGCCGTATAGAACCGCAGTCTGATGATTTTGTTGTTTCATGAACAAACCTCCTGTGGTTGTACCTGTTAAACGACTGTATGTGGTTTAATAAACGTTAGATCAAAGGCTTGAACTGTTTCCTTTAAAAACATTGAAAAGACTGAAGGATCAAAGTGACGCAAACACAGCTGAGAAGAGGCGGAGTCACACGTCATCAATCACTAGACATCCCTACAGGGGACCACCATTTGAATTCCAGGTGACACCACTTTGGGTGGCGACCCCTATGTTGAAAAACACAGACATAAGATAATTTGATCCGACGGAGGAGCAGCAGCAAAGTCAAAGGTCAAGGGTTTCAGTAGTGAGACATGCTATGATGAGACACGAGGATGATTCTTTTTCATTTATTTATTTGTTTTGCTAACGGCTGATCGACCGCCGCCCTGACGTTTTGCTAACCTTGCTAATCTTCCTCGCGTTCTTCTCGTGTTTTGAAGGACGACAGGTGAAGGTGTTTAAACTGTGGGAACTCCCTTTCATTAGTTTTTATTTGATCATTTCCTGGTCTGTGATTGGTCAGTTGCCCGGCGACGTGTCGTAAACATCACAGCGTTCTGTAGAAACAACTTTTTTTTTTCCTCCTAAATTCCTGCGCAGGGCGTGGTCGCTGCCCGTACAAGGTCGCCACCATTTTAGAACCAGAGCGCCGTTGGCACAAAATGGCCGACGCCACGAACAAGGCAAACATGGTGGTTGGGGGCGGTGGTTCAGGTCGGCGCCTCACAGACACCCGGCCCTGCTGGAAAGTCCCGTCTGGTTTTTTTTGTTTTCACTTTCTCTCTCGGCGCGTTGAGTTCACTGACACCCAGAGCGCTGCCAAACTGAAGCCAAGCCCTGGGTCATGTGACACCAGATCATCATCGACTGAAGGATCACATGAGGAAGAAAAAAGATGAAAAAGGTCAAAGTTCAGCCGTTGTTTATTAACAGTAACAACCACTGAGTTTTCAAGTATTATTTTATGGATTTAAAAAAATAATGTCATAAAAAACAAAAGTGTTGTTTTAATAAACACTAAGGAACAGGAAGTCCCCCCCCGTCCCCCCGATCCCAGGGTTCTGATTCAGAGGCTGCTCTGCTGCGTTCACTGCTGACGGTCCCTGAACGCCACATTGGAGTTCAACAACATCCTTGTTTTTCTGAGGGGGTTCGAACAAACGAGAATTTAGGGCTGTCAGCCAATAGGATGTCAGCTTTCTCAGCCCCCCCCCCCCACCCCCCACAGGACAATATTTATCATTAAAGCTTAAAATGTTGTTTTTGCTGAACCTACATGTGAGGAGAAAAACACATTTATGTTTTATTTAGTGAAGGACGACGGTTGGATGACGTCATCTCACCGCCAAAAAAAAAACGAACAAAAAAATCCCCCAGAACACACCGCGGGCTTCTGGCAAAGGTTCGGCACTTTTATCAACTGTCACGTGATTTCCAAGAAACCAAAAAGGCTGGGGTGGAATTAAAGATACTGCTCATCACTGACACCTACTGACCGGAAACGTAACCTTCACAACACAACGCTGAATGACTTAGATCGTTTAAATCGGTCAGAAATCACGAATAAATACCGGAAGTGTTTTTTAAGGGATTTTATTTCCCCTTCAAACTGAGTAAATGAACTTCATTATGATTTGCCCTGAATGAAGGCAATAAAAAAAAATAGCGGGAATAAAGGAATTCACAGCTAATATTTAACGAGAAGAGAAGACGTGTAAAGAATGTGTGTTGGGAACAAAACTATGGTAATAAAAAAAGCTGCTATAAAAATATGTCATCTGTCCAACTGCGTGATGTTAGTAAAATTAATTAATAAAACTTTATTATTCTGTGTTTATTTCTTAACCTTTGACCAGGAAGTTCCACTGAGACTGAAAAAAGTCAAAAAGTCAATCAAACGCTGTTACTGTGTCACAAAAGATGATAAAATAAAATAATAAAACGAGTTGAATCTCAACAAAAACAATCTCGTCTCAGTCTTCGTCTCCACATTCCCAGAAAACTAAGTATTACATCCATAAAAATAATCACAGAGTTCAAAAAGATTTGAACCAAAATCAGAATCTTTATTGAATAATCACAAAAACCTTTAATATATTCATTAAAGAAGAACATTCACTGATGATTTTCTAAAACTCAAATATCCCAGTGTCCTTGAAGGCATCAGAAAAAAAGACCACACACCAAGAAGAACAGAATTAACAACAGCCAGTCTACAGACCTGAAGATGAAACTACACAACTTTATTATCTACTCTGATTTATGATTTATGTCCAGCAGGTGGCGCTCCACAGCAGGAACATGAAGGTGGAATTAGAGAAGACATGGAGACTGAGCTCTGTGATCCAGAGGAAGAAAGAAATCCATCAACTAAAGATGAAATGAGCTTCAGTGTTTGATCCAGACACTGGTTTCATTCATGGACAGGACTTTGTTCAACTGAAGGACACATTCAAATATATCATCAAATATAACCTTTAACCCCTGACTGTCTGCTCTTCTCTGAGCCTGATCTCCAGTCACATGACCTGACTGTGGACACAGTTGAACAGATGAAGGAACTCACTCTTCAGGACGTTGGTGTTTCTTCAGAGTCACCTTTGAGCTGCTGCTCCTCAGAGCTGCTCACAGCTGTGGACACACACACACACACACACACACACA